ACCATTACTCTAGACAATGCATCCTCAAAAGATGCAATGGTGAGAAATTTGAAAGATAATTTTTCTGTTTAAGGTAAGCTTTATTTCAATGGTAAAATATTTCATGTTCAGTGTTGTTCACATGTTATGAATCTAATGGTACAAGATGGCTTGGATGAGATAAGAGATGTAATTGAAAACATACGTGAGAGTGTGAAATACTTGAAAATGTCTCTTTTGAGACTTGATAAATTCAATGATATTGTAAAACAATTGCAATTGCCAACAACTAGAAGATTGATTCTTGATGTGCCTACTCGGTGGAACTCAACATATGAAATGTTAGAATCTGCATTTGTGTTTAAAGAAGTGTTTCCAAGGTACAAATAAAGAGATAGAAACTATCGATGGTTGCCAACTGAGGATGATTGGTCAAGAGCTGAAGAGGTATGCAATTTTTTAGAAATATTTAGTGATGCCACATATCTATTCTCAGGTTTACCCAACTTCAAATTTATTTCTTTGTGAAATTTGGAAAATTAGAAAGATTTTGAATGAGCATGAATTTGATAAGAGGGACTACATGAGACGCATGACTACTAGAATGAGTGAAAAGTTTGACAAGTATTGAGGAGATTGTAACTTGTTGATGGCAATTGCAGTGGTCCTAGATCCTAGATATAAAATGAGACTTGTTGAGTTTTGTTTTCCCAAAATTTATTCATTATATGAAGTAGTGCATTGTATAGGTGTTGTTCGTAATTCCTTGTATGATCTCTACAAGTATTATGTGTCTAAAGATTTACAACAACTAAAGACTTCGTCTGAAAGTAGAAATGTTTGTGGCACTAGCAACGTCAAGGGAAAGGCAAAACGTGTGAGTGAATTTGATATATGGGCCAAACAGTTGGACATTGTTCAACCATACAAGTCTGAGCTGGAAATTTATTTGAAAAAAGGCATTTACATTCGTGATGAAAACAACACTGAAGATTTTGATGCCTTGAATTGGTGGAAAGTAAACACTCTTAAGTTTAAAATCCTGTCAAAGATGGCACGGGACATACAATCTATTCTCATTACTTCGGAGTCTGCTTTTAGTGTCGAAGGGAGAGTTCTTGATCAATATCGAAGCCCCTTGAAACCCTAGACAATTGAAGCTTTGATATGTACCATAATTGGTTGCATAATGATTTTGAAATTCAGGGATCAAATATTGTAAGGATTTTTTTACCCCGTGTTTCATTTTGTTTCAGTCAATATGAATTTCATTGTTGGTGTCTTATTTACTGGTTGTTGAAGAGAATGAGTTTATGAATGGAAGTAGCCTTGAGGAAAAAATCTTTTGAATCATTTTTTTGAAGGTATCAATAACAAAATAATTCTTGTCTTGCCTTTAATTTGTATGCCGACAAAATACTAATTCTTAGTTATGGTTTTTTCATTGTAGGCTCTACTACTATGGCACTTGGCTGTTTTTTTGTGAAGCAGGTAGTTTTTTTGTTGGCACTTGACAACTTTTTTTTTAATTTTTTTTGTTGGCACTTGGCACTTGACAAGTTCTCTTTTGAATTTTTGTGATCAATTTCATGTGACTGGTTGTTTAATCTAGTTGTTTATGGACAATTTTTCTGGTTGGTGATGTGCATCAATGCATGTTGTGTTGATTATATCTGTAAGTGGTATTAATTGTTGGGTGATGTCTATGGAGAAGTTGATTATGAATTTGTTATGTTGTGTTAATTTGTTATGTAGTGTTAAGTGGTGTTGAAATTGTTAAAATTCGAGCCTATTCGCAAGCCTGAATTCGAATTATTGGATCAAGCTTCATACGAGTTAGATCTCAGATTCGAGCTTGTTAATAGAAAACGAGTCTAATCAAGACAAGCTTGAAATTTTCATTTTTCAGTTAAGCCGAGCTCGAGCTAAAAAAAAAAACTTGATGTTCGAACTCAAGCCGAGCCTGAGAATGGTGATGCTCGTCGAACTTGGCTTGATTATAACCCCTAGTGGTGGTGGTAATGGTGGGGTGGCGATAGTGGTGGTGATTGAGGTGGTAGTAGTGAGGCGATGGTGGTGGTGAGGTGGTGACGGTGGCGGTGGTGGTGGTGGTGGTGGTGGTATGATGGCGGCAGCGGTGGGGGTGGAGGTGGTAGTGTTGGTAGTGGTGATGATGCGGTGGGGGGGTAGTTGTGGTAGTGTGGTTGGCAGTGGTGGTGGTGCGGTTCCAAACACTGCTACTTTTTTTTTTTAAAGTAATCATGATAAGTTACAAGTTTTAGAAACACTTTTAAAAAGTCACCTCAAACACACTTTTAGCAGTCTATTTTCCTTATTAAATTTGAGGTGTTAATATTAGCTGTTGGATTAACTTTAAAGTAAAATTTAAAGATATTTCAACCGCGAAAAGTAAAAATTATTTTATTTATCTTTTGAAATTTAAATTATATTGTATTTTATTATATAGATATAAAGAGAGAAAATAGATTTTTATATAAGACAGTGCATACCATTAATGACGCTGCTAGACCACCATTCTGAACATAAGTAGTCTAAGAAACCTCATCTCCTACTACTTTATGCGACACTTCATCAAACATTAATCATGCATTAACCAAAGCACCATACTTCCCATATAAATAGCTACAATGGCATTACAAATAAGAAAACATTAACATCAAAGCCAGTACTACAAAGTTAACCCAATACACTAGAAGAGCAAATGCATAAATAAAGTACAAAAAAAAGGTAAAGTCAAGACCAATAAGTAACTCAAATGAAGGAAGAAAATAAAAACTGAGACCAGTTCGTCTCAAAATTGAATAAAATCTCAATTCAAATTCAGAAATCAAAATCGGAAACAAATTTTGAAGTCATATTTGATTCGAGTTCTCAATTGGAAGGCAGTGCGGTGGTTGTTTTGGGGTGGTGCGGGGCTGTTGGTTGGTGGCCTGAAGAAAAGAGAAAGAGTAGCATGAGCACTGCCGGAGTTTCGTCGTCACCAGACTGGGAACGAGAGAGAAGAGCGAAAAAAGGGGAGAGAGAAAGATGCAGGCTAATTAAGGAAGGAGTTAGATCTCCAACATTATCTCTTTCCTTCAATTTTTTTTGATATAGTATTAGATGAGTGACATGTATAAAATTTTTTACACTTTCATTAGCTGATGGAATATAAGCGGTATTAATCATTTTATTAATTAATTAAGAGAAAATTTCAACCACACCCCCTTCTATTATCTAAAATATCACTAACACTTCTTCTAATTTATATTTAAATATCACCGGCAACCGCTTTTAAATCACCATTTCTAACAAAAATAATTCACCTAAAATACCAAAATTAACTCTATATAAACTTCAAACAATCTTTCTACATAAAATTCGATTAAAATTTGAGTCGATTAAAATTTATTTTTTTACATATTAAAATTCAAGTTGATTAAATTTTATTTTTCAACATATTAAAATTTTAACCAATTAAAATTCGATTCGAATTGATTAAATTTTTTTTTACGTATTAAAATTCGAACCGATTTTAGTTCAACTTGAACTGTTAGCGCCGATTAAAATTTGATTCGAGTTGATTAAATTTATATTTTTGTACTTATTAAAATTCTTGTCAATTAAAATTCGATTCAAGTTGATTAAATTCATTTTTACGTATTAAAATTTGAGTTAATTAAAATTTAAATTATTTTACCTATTAAAATTTGGGCCGATTAAAATTCAATGCAAGTTAATTAAAATTTGAATCGGCACAAATCAAATTTAAATCGGTAAAAAACTTCATAAAACAAAGAGGGTCTTATTAAAGATATACCTATCTAGAGGGAGTGTGAATGAAATTTTTTTTTTAAATATATCTTGGACAATTTAATAAAATTATATTTTAGTTAAGACCGTTAATCTAATAGGATGTGTCAGTGAAGATCCAAAAAATAGAGCAAGTACCCTTATAAATATAATAATCTAGAAAATATGTGACTGAAAATTTTCCATTAATTAACGTTTATATTGAAGAGGATAGCCTTTTAACTTTCTTTCCTTAGACGTTACAATTTCATTAGCTGAGATGATAGGACATATAGGTATTAGTAATTTTAAGGTTATTTTCGTCAACTAATGAAAGTGGCATTAATTAAGGAGGATAAACATGATATAGTTGCAGTGTTAGAGGGTAAAAGTGAAAAAAAAAATTCATGTATGCTGATATTTTAAAATAATATAAATATAAATTAATACCAATCACGTCTCATCTTATAGCTTTGGTTATATAGTATTGATTTGTGGTGTTAATGACATTGCATCACCACATAAAAAAAAAAAAAAAAAGATGACATTGCATCACCACCTTAGTACTAAAAAAATCATTAAAGCTAAACTATATAACATAAATCCAAATTTGGTATTAAGTTATTACTGAATTAGTTTAGTCTAATCCCACCCCCATGTAACCAAATCAAGCACTCTTTAAGAGTGTCAAGCTTAGCTGATAAAAGAGCTACTACGCCCCTACAAAAAACATAACTGTGAACTATTTTTTGCTAGGGACCAGATTGAGTGTTCCAGCAGAGTGCAAATGCATCCCTTCTTTGGTACACAAGTTTCGTCTCTTCAGTCATCTGGCTGCTTGCCAGTACTGATGAGCAATGAATTTTGAACCTTACTAAGTAATATTGTTCATAACTACACCTTTCATGTGTTATTTCACATTCCTAAGATCATCTGTCCATTTTTCAGTTAAGAAAGCTGACTGTAATTGCAGGAATTGTCGGAGAAAGCTGCCAAACAAATTTGGCATGGAGCAGCAGCCATACCAAGTGAACAAGATGAGCACATGCCATCACTCTCCATCCTTCCTCATACAGATTTGAAGCATTACCTCTATAGATTTGAAGAACTGTTACAATTGAATGAAGTTTAAAATCAATTGACAAACAACTTCTGATTTTTAATATTAGCAAAAAAAGTTAAAGCAACATGAGAGAGACAGACAGATAGAGAGAGAATTACATAGCAAGTTATCTCTGCCATAGGCTCTTCTCCCCCAATAGAAGTGCCTTCAAGATAGCATCATTCATACCATCTGCAAATGGAAGTAGATGACCAGCATCTGTTACTTCATGGTAGTGTATCCAGGGAAGCCTTTCAGCAATGTAGCGCTGCAGTGTAACAGGCACAAGGCCATCTTCATTGCCTTGCCATAAATGGACAGACCCTTCATCATCAAGGAAAGGATTCTTAAGATCCATCGGATCAAATTCCCAACTCCCGAATCCAATCTTCATGTCACAATGGAAGGACTCAAATTCTCCTTGTTGCGTCGCATATTCCTGGTTATCAAAACAAGTGGTGAATTTTGAATCATATGCCATTCACAAATTTTGGACACTTTTTAACTGACACGTTTAGAAGAACTATGACCCAAGAATCTCCTTAACCATGATATTTCATAACTCTAAAACAGAGGAGGCTTGTCACATAATCGCTGTTAATGGGAGCTTGCACGGATTTTGATCATTTTTAAGACAACATCATCAATGAATTGGTTTTCTTATGCACAAGTTATTGATCATGACCACACGCGTATACACATACACATGCTCCAACACTAATGCATAGTGGTTCGCTCATTAACCATAAAACAGAAAAGGTACTACTTACTTGGTAATTTTGTCTTTCACTAAGTTTGGATATAATTTCTAAATCTTGGCGAGAAAACTTGGCCTTTTGAGCAATAACGCTAGAGGGAGGAAACCATTTCTAACTTCTGAGTGTTCTACCAGTAGGTGAGCCAAGGGATGTAATGAGCGACCCGTAAAGCCCACTGGTCTTGTGGAAATTGCTGATAGTAGGCTTCTGCAGATAAATTTGTACGAAACCTTGGCCATCAGTAGCTGATAACTGGAGCAATTAACATTGCTCCTGCTAGCCTGTGAGCATCCAAATATTAAACTTGATAGGATCACATGAAAAGAAATATTTTGAGAAATCCAGTAAAAAGACCTTAATCTTATCATAAGTGGTTAAAAAATAATTACATTCCAGATTTTCAGAAAGCATCATAGCAAGTACTGCATTTGTTACTTAACCCATTTTATGCGTACTCAAAAGATAAAAGATTAAACCACTTAATATCACTCAAAATGATGGAATTTCCAAATAAATGCTCCACATCAGAACAGCAAAATATAATCAGCTTTTTTTTTCACATGGACTGCTTTGTCTTCTCTGTGAATATTGTTTTTAATTACTCTGACATGTTATTCAGATTATGTCCCCAAATAATTCCTGAACTTTGATTATCCATCAATGGAAATAATTTCTGAATAACTAAATTTTCAATATCATTGAGTAGAAAAATGAATTTGGCTATTTCTTACCTGTGAGGAATGTACTTAAGGCATCCCCAGATCACCTGTCCTCCCATGGAAACCCCAATTACATAAAATTTTGATCCAAGTTCTAACTGATCAGCACGCTCTTCTATATCTAGAGCTATACTTTTTAAGGTTTGTTTTGGATCTGGGTCACTTCCTCCATAACCTGGTCTATCAAAAGAGACAAAGTAGACCCCTAGTTCTTCAACCATCCCCTGGGAAAAAAAACACCATGAAATTCATTCAAAAATAACTTTGGCATAATCCACCAAAGTACATAGAACTTTGTTGGTAAAATGACCACTTATAAAATTACTGATGTTACAATTGCTACATCATGTCTGCTAGAGCCAAAGCCATGAACGCAGACGATCTTGTATTTGGCCATTTCTTTAGGGACACCATGCTCCTTATAGGCCAAATATCGTCCATCCCTAAGCTTATTCTGGGTGCTGTAATGGGTGGATCACCTGGGGAGCCACATATCCTGGGAGGTGGCTCAATATGCCCATACTAGAAACTCGGCCACTAAAACCAATGCAATTTCTTCAAACATCCCTGTAAAGAATTTCAAATTCTTAATGTAACAGCACCAAAAGTCTGAGATAAAAAACAAGAAAGCATAACACCAAAGATTAGAGATACTGGTGTAACACCTTTACATTTTCTTCTTTACCTTTGTTTTTCCTAAATGGGACCAATGTACCACATTGACAAGAATAAACATTCACAATGGGAGAATAGCATCAGGTGCAGTTTTGAGAGACTAAAAAACAAGAGGAACAACAACAATTCAATGATTATTGGCGTTCAATAACAGATATCCCCCATCGAAAAAATAAAAACAATAATAATAATAAGGGTTTAACAGGTATAATCACAGTAATAGAGAAATCAAAAGCTAGACCACAAAACTATTTATTCAAAAAGAAAACTACAAAATGTAATGTCTGTTTTACTTTATTTCTTTCTTTCAGAAAGCCAGCACACCTCACTCATCACATTGTGATCATTCAAATGGTAATAACAAACAATCCACATCAGTCAGAGCGTTTTGAGGACAAAGTAACAGCAATGGAATGATTTCATTCCTGGATAGTTACTGAGTACCCTTCATTTCTTTTATCAGATCTGCCATAAAATTAAAGTATAATAACATAATATTAGTCCCTTCAGACCTTTCAGACTAGAAATATATAGTTGTGAGGCAACAGAATTAGTGAAATCAAATAAGGGAACAAGAAATGACCCCTGTGATTGTTTTAGGGAAGAGAGAGAACCTGTAAGAAGCTGAAAGGAATTTGTCTTTCACTGGAATGATGCTGAGCAGAAGAAGTTGATATGGAATCAATGCATTTTTCTAAGTAATTAAATGACAAACATAACATTTGAGTGTAATTTTTCTTTTTTTAAAAAAAAGATAGGGAAATTATACTTTATCACTTGAACTATTATTCTTGTTTCACTTTATAACCTCAACTATAAAATTTTTTACATTATATCCTAAAGTATCAATTTTGTTTTATATCACTCCAATTAATAACGAACATCAATTTTTTAATGGTAAATGCACATGTGAGTAGTCTGTGTAACGAAAAAATTTGTGATGTAAATTAACACAAAATAAGGTCAAATTACAATAGTCAATTTTATTGACTTTAAGTAAAAAATGTAGCGTTGACTCTCTTTGGCGTGCTTCTCACGTGCACTATCCTCTGATTCTCGGTAAATTTGATGAAGTTGATGAATTTGGTGAAGATGAGGGCCAGATTGACGTATTTCTCACTCTTCAATTGGTGGCTTTGATGAAAACGAGAGTTGGATCAATGTATTTCCTACTCTTCAATTTGATGATACTTTTGATGAATCTCCTCACCGCTCTTCGTTTGGAAGGGTTTGAAGAAGATTTGGATTTCTTGAAAAAGGACCTTGGCGGTGTGTTCTTCTTTTTGGAGATGAACTTGCAAGGCTTTAAGGCTTTAGTGAATTTCGAACAGAGCTTCGCTGATCTTCCTTTCTCCTTGGTTTCTTCTCCTTTTTTTTCTTTTTTGGCCTACCCTAGACCTCTATTTATAGTGGTAGGAGTAGTTATCCATATAAATGTATATTACCTGAATACCCTTGTGTGGACTTTAGATAATGGGCTACCCATAAATTTGTGAGTTTTAGTTAATTTATGGAGTTTAAGTCCAATTTTTTAAATGTTTGTTTAATTTGGGCTTATGGAATTTAAGTCCATTTAATTTAGCAAGCCTTGTTAATTATATTTTGGCTTCTATTATTTGGGCCGTAGAATTTAGGTCCAACTCAAACTTATTTAATTACATTTAAACTTATATCATTTGGGCTTATGAAATTTAGTTTCAATCCAATTTCATTTATCTAATTGATTTAAGCCCAATTATAGACATTAATTTATTAATTAATTTTTTTTTAATGTCTACAAATGCCCCTTCGAGACTTATTTACATATTTAATATTTTATAAATATATAAATGAGTCTCGATTTATATTTTAATTTTGAAAGAAATTTGAATTAATTTAATTTATACATATGTTTTAATTGGAATTATAGTCCATATGAAATTCGGTCTATGTGGAAGTCCCATTAAAATTTAACTCTTGGATGTGGCTTTGGATCAACGAACATGTATCACCTCTTTCTTTTTTTATTTATTTATTTCTTATATCTCTCTTTTATTGGTGCCTTCTTTATATTATTAACTTTTTTTTTTTTTTAGAATTGTGTGAACAAGTCTAAAAGAAATATGATTTTTATTTTTTTTTTACTTTACTATTTTGTAATAGAATTATAACCCATGTTGAACTCCATGTAATACAAAGAATTCAATTAGTTACAATTTCCTAATATTTGGTTTATTAGGACTCAAAATAACTAGTTCTCTTTTACTTGAAACACTCAATCCCTCTACGACTATCATAATTTTTCTCTATTTAAGGATGTTCAATGACCCGAGAGTAATAGCCCTTGAAAGTTTGTTTGTGAGTCAAGAAAGTTTCGTGATTCAATACATCGAGGTATGTTTCATATTTATTTTATATATATATATATATATATATATATATATATATATATATATATATATATTATTTTTTATTTTGACTTTGGTATCACAGTTGTTTTTTTTTTTTAGACCTAGTTATATATGACTTTGTTTATTTTGTTAATGATGATAATGACTTTCAAGACCTCAGCTTGTGAGAGATGTACAATTTTTTTTTTATAATTCGTTGTTGGCATGGAAAGATTTTATTACTTTAATGTGTAATTGATTGCAATGTTTGCTTTCTTACCAAGTTTTTTTTTATATATATATATATATATATATATATATATTTTACACAAATTTAGATAAAGTCATAGGAATTATTCTTTTTTTTTAAGAATTTTTTTTTAAAAAAATTTTTTTGATGGTTCTTGATAAGTTAATTGTTTCATAAACCCTTTTTTTTTTTTTTTTTCTGATGACCTATTGATAAAAAAATTTATTTACAGACACTAGTACCTATGTATGTTTGACAAGGTCTGACACTTTTGTGATCACCAGCTTTGACATCAAGGCCAATTTGTTTAAGGTATTGCTTCTTTTTCTTGTCCTCTATTCTGTAAATTTATATTATTATCATTACTTTTTTATATATATATATATATATATATATATATATATATATTTTAATTTTTTTTTTTTTTTGGATTTCTTAGAGTAGTTGTTCAACTTTGTTTCGAACACTCAGATAATGAAAGTCAACTTTACGTGAGTCCAACCTATCCATAAGCTTCCTATTTTTAATACTCTATTTTTTATCACTACCTTAATTTAACATTGGATTTTATTTGTTTAATATTATTTTTTTTGTAAGGTGATTTGCAAACTTGTCCACATTGATATATTATTTTGACTAGCTGTTTCTATTAAAGAATTTTTTTTTTTTAAAAAGAAGTTAATGTTAGTGGTAATTTGTTACAATAATTTGATTAGGTGATAAAATTTTAAATATTATATATTGTTCAAATAGTACATATATTAATTGTTTTCTTTCCTAGTTAATGAACCCAATTGATCAAGTTACATGATTCCACCTTAAATTTGATGACAACAATTAGCCTACCATTCCAATTTTGTTTTGTGTAACCTATTGCAAAATATCCATCTTTTTATTGTTTATTGCAAAGTTTTTTTTTTTTTTATTTTAGAACTTGTGGTATTATTTTTTTATGGCAGATTTGTTTTAGATCGTTTGTACCCTCCTTTTTTATTTATTTGATTATAATTGTTGTTTTTAAATATGACATTCATGACAACAGAACCACATTGTTCCCTAAGGATTATCCATAAAATTTTAATTTGTCATTACTCTTTTTTTTTTATATAACTTGACAATTTTTCACATAGGTCGACTCAAGTCAATCTAAGAAAAATGTTTGATTTGTGTGTGTATATGTATATGTGTGTGTGTGTGTGTGTATATATATATATATTATCTTATTCTTAGTCATAACTTATTTCTTAATTTTTTTTTTTTGGAACAAATCATGATTTCTTGACAATAATTCGTGTCTTGTAATTTGTTGGGATAATAACCTCTTTTTTTTTTTTTCAAAAAAAAAGTTAGTCTCGATTATCTTTATCCAAAAATTTGTGTTAGGTAACCTTTTGACCTAAGAATTTTATCTTACTAACTTGATTTTAGGTGATCCTTTTTTTTAAAAATAAAAAATAATAAATAAATCTTGTTCAGTAATTTTTTTTTTTTTGGGTTAACATTATTCCAAGAGTATTAATTTTAATTTTAATGAGCTTTTTCTAATGAATTTTAGATGACATTCACTCTAACAATTTATAACTTTTGTGTTAATTATAAGTGGCTTCTGTTACAGGAGTTTAATTTTATTATTAATTTTCTTTTGACCACCTTAAGTATTTTTGTGTTGACTTAGGTGACTTTTGTGACAATTTTAGGTGACTTTCCATGACAGCCCTAATGACTTCTGTAATAATCCTAGGTGAATTCTGTAAAAATGACTTCTGTAACACAACTAACTGACTTCTGTAACAATCGTAGGTGACTTCTGTAACAACTGAAGGTGGCTTCTGTAACAACCCAAAATGAATTCTGTAACAGCCCAATGTGACTTCTATAACAACTCAAGGTGGCTTCTGTAATAGCCCAAAGTGAATTATGTAACAGCCCAATGTGACTTCTGTAACAGCCCTAGATGATTTCTGTAACAGCCCAATGTGACTTATCTATTATTATATTGCTAATATTATTATTATTATTATTTTCTTCCCACTTTTATTTATAGCATCAAGGTTTATATATATATATATATATATATATATTATTTGCCTTATTTTTTTCTTATTATTATTTTTATTATCTTTCAGATGGTCTCATCTCAAAAGCCAAATCGGGAAAAATTATCAAAATTTCAAGTCAAAGAAAGAACTTACCTTCCGATGAGTGGATTGATGAGTCAGAAAATCCAATTCTGAAAGACAAAGTTTTATATTTTCCAACTATTGTGGTAAAGAACTACAGAAACAACGAGTTGTCAACATTATCACTCAAAGTTCTTGAGCCCTTGACTGCAGTCGCTCGAGAATAATCTATGAACCTGAACTTCATATGCCGATGATTAGTGAATATCCTTTGTTAGAGAACATGCACAAAAGTGACATGGTTAAGTCAGATCGACTACCCTCACTTTGCGCGCCTTCGTATCATTCCAAAGATCATCTTATCCCAAAGCCACTTGTTGGTGATCTGATCAACCAAAGGACTGCGAGGTGGGGATGTTCATTGAACCCAAGGGGAGATATTCAATATCTGAATGGGTTTTGGGAGTGGCCTCAACGAATTTACCGCAAGTTGTTAGATAAGGGTTTCAATGAACTTGCTTATGTGTATGCAGCTTCTTTTGACTACTCTCGACCCAACAGTGTATATCGCGCCCTTTGTGAATTTTGGTGTCCACAGACGAATACATTTGTTACGGGAGCAGGAGAAATTGGAATCTCACTTTGAGAAATGCGACACGTCACCGGTCTTTCAATTTGTGGTGAATATTTTGAAGAAGTTATCCTAAACTTGACTGAATTGAGAGACTCTGATACTAGTGTTTTTCCTGTGACTTGTCTGCACTTGTTTAAGACTTTTTGTCTTAATTAATAAGAAGAAAGGAGATAATCGTCCCCGTCATTCAGATTGGCTTGATTTTTGGTTCAAGGATGGTGCACGTGTTTCGAATCCTAAGAAGAGCAAGACATATAAAGTAGCCATGGCAAATTGCTTTAAAAGGGATGGAGAACTTTTTGCAAAGTAAAGATTGGTGAGACCTATTCAGGCAGGAATACAACCTATGAAGACAAAGGTCAATGGTGATGATCCCTTCATTCTTTTAGATCTTGACCTTGATGTCACAACACGTGAAGACTTGGAGATTGCAGCTTATTTAGCTTTCTGGCTATGTCGCTTTGTATTTCCTTCATCGAATGATGTTATTCGTCCAACTATCTTCAAGACTGCCTCCCGAATGGCTGTTGGAGTCACATATAGCTTAGTTCCCCCTATTGTTGCAAACATTTACAGAGGTTTATCTAAGACATGTAGCATCCGATATGATCAGAAGAACCTCGGAATGGCTTCTTATGCTTTTCCAGGTCATTACTTTTATGCTTGGGTAGCGTTGCATTTCCCTTGGAGAGTTTATGCTAAGGTTGATGAGGAGCTTGATCGTCCTTTGCTTCGACAATTGAAAGGTACACTGAATGCTTATCTTTTTTATGAGGAAGAAGCGAAAGGATTTCGAGATCTTCTGCGTGGAAGTATGAGTTCCAGTGATTTTTGCTGGCAACCAGTTCCGTATTCTAGAAACCGAGGACCTCGTCGTGATGATGGACAAAGATCATATGAAACCTCTAAATTAATGACAAGTATGCGAGGTGGACACGTCATGTATCGTCATGGGCCAGTTTGCATTCTTTAGATGTATAACTCACATCGCTTTGCTAGACGGCATGGATTTCATCAAAGATTATCGGGTACTCCCTCACATCCATCAATAATTTCATTTGATGCCTCTTTTTTATATCGGGCATGGTTGAGTTTAACCAGGATAAACAATGGGGCAGGATTTCATTTCCTTAATAATTGCGCTTGTATTGAAAATCGATGTGACAGTAGTTATAACAACTGGTAGAAATATGATGTACTCCCACACCTAGATGACATTAATTGTAAAACCTTGTTAGCCAGTGAATCTGAGAATTTCAAATTCAAAACTCAAGCTGACGGGTCAGGGAAGGGGAAATCCCTTCCTACAGTAGCTAAAGCTCCTTCACGTCTTCGAAAATGGGACACTTCAAAGGATTGTTTGAATTCCCAAGAACAACCGGCTCCGAATATGTTAAAGGTCACGACACCTGTTTCAAGATCAGCTAATGTTCGATCTGTTCATCCTTTAAACATCCCGGAGTCTACTGAAGTGAGTTTGTCAAACGAATCTGATCATGCACTCCTTTTATCCCGCATGTCTAAGGGTATTTTCAAGAAATAGGATATAGGCTCGAATCATGGAAGGATTCCAAGCGCAATTGTACCAGTTGATAATCTTGGTTCTATTAAACAGGTAATTCAAGAGAGGTGTCAAACAAGAGCTACAGAAGTTGAGCATAATTTGGCTTGTACCCGGTCAGAAGATGGTGCAAATCATACTACGATAAAGTCTCCCACAGGTAGGGTTGACCCATCTTGTGATGCTCTGAATGACTTATCAACTTTTTTAGAATTATCCTCGCGATCCCGCAATAAAGGTACTTGCAAAATTTCATTACTATTATCATTTTTTTATATCTCAAACCTCTTATCCCTTTTTTTTTTTTTAGCTTTTCCTCCACTCCCAGATCTTGCCACATTAAATTCCATCCCAGGTATTTGTGGAGACCAAAATCTTGACAATGATATCATTGGAGCTTTATTTGATGACAACGATCGGACCATGTCCATTCTTTCCGATAGTGATGAGATTCTTCCTTTGGTTGATGGAGAACATACCAATCCATGTTAAGGGGAAGTTAATTCTAAAACAAAACCTTTCATGTGCTATCCAAGCAGGGCAAGAAGCTATTAATAATTCTGTTATGAATACTCTTCTTGAGCCATATGGACCTGGTGAAGCACGATCTCCAAGACTAATGCCGATGTTTTCATCTATCTCAGGCATATTTTATTAGCCTGATCTAGTTGCCCTTTCGATTAGTATGCAACTAATCGCATATCTTTATTTGTGTCAGGTCTTCTTGTTGAAACAATTACTTTTGAAAGATTGACAAAGAAAATAATCCTGACCGGGATGCCTCCATATTTGAAGGGTGAATTTGATTATGCCATGAAAAATGGCTTCTCTGAATTGAAGACATGGTGGACCTCTAAGTCTTCAAGTATTGAAGATACTCTTAAAAAGTTTTTCTATGTTAACACAGATCTTTTGGTGAGAAAAATGGATTGTTTTCTTATGAAAGTAGATGAGTACCTTTCAAAATGCCAAGAAATCGTCAAAGTTTTAACCTCTAGAGATAGAGATAAAAGGTTGGCGACAATTGATAGCACGATATCAGGAGGACAATTCAAAGTTCTTGGCTTGAGTGAACAACTGTTGAAATCTGAAGCAGAGCTATTGAGTCTTGATGATGAAATCCAGCGACTGCAAGATCGGAGGGCCGAGGTAGCATCTAGCATTAACTTCATTCGTGATAAACGATAGAACACTGAAGAGACTATTGTGGTGATGGAGAAAGAACGTGTCAAACTCCAGGAGTCTCATATTCGCAGCGTTGAGGAGATACAGGATATAGATAAGATGTGATCCATGTTAGAGAAGGAATTCGTTTCACTAGCCTCGATCGACTGGGTTGAAAAATTTTATGATCTCATAACTCCTCAATTGTAATTTATATATATATATATTAGCAAATATGGATGTTTAGATTTGAAATTTTTTTTTTATGTTATTATTTATTGTCCAAAAAAAAGATTGATTTAGATATCTCAAAGAAAAAGTTTAAGTTTAAACATAATTTCAAAAAAAAAAAAATTTTTTTAAGTCATATAGAGTTTTCACTCATGTGGGCCAGGAGTAAAAAAAAATTTTTGTTTTTTTTTTTTTGGTTAAGTCGTACACAGTTTTAACACATGCAAACCCGGAGTAAAAAAAAAATTTTGTTTTTTTTTTTTGGTTAATCCGTACATAGTTTTAATTCATGCGGGCTAGGAGTAAAAAAAAAATTTTTTTTTCTTTTTTGTTAAGCTAAGTAATTTTTTTTTTTTTAAGTCATACATAGTTTTAACTCTTGCTGGTCAGGAGTAACATGCAGTTTAGGCTCGTGCGTAAAGGAGCGCATGAACCTTTATTTTTGGTCAAGTCGTACACAGTTTTAGCTCATGCGGGCCAGGAGCAACAAGTTTTTTTTTATATTTAATAGGTTGGCGACGTGCACAGTTTTAACTCATGCGGGTCAGGAGTAACATGCAGTTTAAACTCGTGCATAAAGGAGTTTTGCTTGTTTTCAAGCGTAGAAGCGCTGTAAGAATTTTTCATTGATTGGGCCAACCCTCAAGCCATCTTTTTCAACAATCTTATATGCGTAGTTGGTGTAGACTTCTTTCACCACATATGGATCATCCCATTTTGGCATGAATTTTCCACCGGTGTGATGCGGAATGACAATGGGTCTTCGAATTGCAAGGACCAAATCTCCAATTTAGAAAGATCGGACACGAACCTTCTTATTGAAGGCTTTGGAAAATCTGGTTTGATAACATTCTAGGTTTTGTTGTGCATCTAGTCTCTTCTCGTCAAGTGCTTCAAGCTCATCTAGACGTAAATGAACACTTTCTTCATTTGTGAGTTCTTCTTGTAGGGCAATCCGCAGGGAGAGAATTTGACGTTCCAAATGAAGAACAGCTTCAATGCCATACATAAGGGAATATGGAGTAGCTTGTGTTGGAGTTCAGTATGTTGTTCGATATGCCCAGAAAGCTTCACCAACCCTTTCATGCCAATCCTTCTTTGATTTGGAGACAACTTTCTTCAACAAGTTACACAAGATTTTATTGAAGGCTTTTGCGAGTCCATTGGCTGGTGCGCTGTACATAGATGAATTATGTTGTACAAACCCAAATTTGATGCAAAGTTTGACCATGAGGCTATTGACAAATGATTTTTCATTATCAGTGATAATGTAACGAGGTACACCATACCAATATATAATATTTGTTTGAATAAAGTCGACAACATTTTCTTTTTTCACTTCTTTGAGAGGAACTGCTTCCGCCCACTTGGAAAAATAATCGGTTACAGCTAAGATGTAAAGATGTTCTGCTGACGATTTTGGAGTTAAAGGTCCTACGACATCAAGTCCCCATGCATCAAAAGGCCATGATGCGATTGTAGGATGTAATGGTTCAGGTGGCTGGTGAATGAAGTTGGCATGGAACTAAGAAGCTTGACATTTCTTAGCGTAACTCATTGAGTCTTGTACCATAGTGGGCCAGTAATACCCCGTTCTCTTTATGCGAAAATGTAATTTAGGCCTTGATTGATGAGCACCACAGATTCTAGATTGAGCTTCTTTGAGTGCTTGAGCAACTTCATCTTCATCCAAACATCACAAAAAAATACCATCAAATAAACGACGATAGATGATGCCTTTATAATAAATAAATCGATGAGCTCTTTGTCGTATCTCGGTTCTATGACGTGGGTCATTTGGTAATTTTTCATACTGCAAATAATCAATCAAAAGTTGCCTCCAATCTTCATTTTCAACTTGCACTATTGAAATGGTAGTAACTTCCTCCATTTCAGGGAGTAACGGAGGTATTACCCATTTTTGACAAACTGGAACTGAAATTATTTGGTAATAGGGTTTTGTAAGCACGACAGCAAGATTAGCAAGAGCATCAACATATCTATTTTTACCGCATGGTACATTTTCAATGGTGACTCGATCATACTGACTCATAAGTTGAGTTGCATAGCGACAGTATGGAATCAAATCTGGTATGCGAACATCATACAACTCCAAAACCTGATGAACCACCAGCTGCCAGTCTCCATAGATTTCCAACTGAGAGAGCTGCATATCAAGTGCCATTTCTAAGCCAATTATCAAAGCTTGATACTCTGCCATGTTATTAGAGCAAGACTCCGTCAAGGTAATTGCGTAAGGCAATATTTCGTCTTCAGGGGTAATGAAGACCACACCTGCACCAGCTCCATACCTTCTAGCAACACCATCAAAGTATAACTTCCAAGACGGTATGAAGTCAGTGAAGAAAACTTCTTCATCTGACAATTCTTCTGGTAGCTCCCAGTCTGCAGGGATCGGGTGATTTGCAAGAAAATCAGCTAATGTTTGTTCTTTGACTGCTCTTTGTGGAACATAAACTATATCATATTCAAACAATAGAAGTGTCCACTTTGTCAACCTTCCCGAGAGAACTGGTATTGACATAATGTACTTGACAGGATCAGATTTTGAAATGAGATGAACAACATGAGCCAGCATATAATGCCTCAACTTATTTGTAGCGAAGACTAATGCAAGACACATCTTTTCAATAGGTGAGTAGTTTAGTTCTGCACCTACTAATGTCCAACTCAGATAGTATAATGTGTTTTCATTTCCCTCATCATTAACTTGTGTTAAGAGTGCTCCTAATGATTGTTCTTGGGCAGCAATATAAAGGATCAATGGTTCTCCTTGAATTGGTGCTGCGAGGACCGGGTGATGAATGAGATATTATTTTATATTTTCAAAAGCACTCTGACAAGCATCATCCCATTCAAAAGAAATATCATTCTTCATTAGTTTATTGAATGGATGACAATGTTTGACAAGGTTCGAGATAAATCTTCATATATAGGCAAGTCTTCCTTGAAGCCTTTTCAAGTCATGCAGATTGCAAGGCTCTGACATCTTTAGGATAGCCTCTATTTTTGATTGATCAGTCTCAATGCCTGACAATAAATCCGAAGAACTTGCCAGAGGTAACCCCAAAGGCACACTTTAAGGGATTAATTTTTAGTTGATATCTCCGAAGTCGTTCAAAAATGTTGCGCAAATCATCAAGATGATCTTCACGTCTTCTTGTCTTTACGACCAAGTCATCAACATAACATTCAACCTTTTTGTGTAGTACATCATCAAAAATCTTTTGCATTGCACGTTGATATGTGGTACCAGCATTCTTGAGTCCGAAGGGCATCACTATGTAGTAGTAAACTCCCTTGGGGGTTCGAAATGTAGTAAGTTCTTCGTCCTTAGGGTCCATTCGAATTTGATTGTATCTAGAGGAACCATCCATGAAAGATAAGACCTCATGTCCCGTAGTCGCATCAACCATGAGTTCTGTAATCGGCAATGGAAAGTCATCTTTCGGACATGCTTGATTTAAATCTCTGAAATCAACACAAACTCGAATTTGTCCATTTTTCTTTCTGACAGGTGCAATATTATCAATCCATGTTGGATATTTGACTTCTCGAATGAATCCAGCGTCTATCAACTTGTTGACTTCAGCTTTGATCTACAGGACTAGTTCTGGACGAAATCTTCGTTGTGGTTTCTTAATAGGTCGAACTCCGTGTTTAACAAAAAGATGATGAACTGTAACTTTGGGATCAAGCCCTGTCATTTCTTTGTATGACCATGCAAAAACATCTTTATACTCTTGTAATAGTTTAAAGTACTCACCTTCCTCTTGAGGTTTTAAAAGAGCACTAATGAATATTGGTCTTGGATCATCTTCCGTTCCTAGATTCAATTGTTTTAAATCATCAACAGTTGCTTGCTCTCCTTCTTCAAAATTCGATGGTGCTGGTTCAGGCTCATCGTCAGAAGTTCAACCTTCTAGTTCTGAAGTTTCATCAATAGTCACATGGTTCACAGGGCAACTTCTTCCTCAATCTTGAATTTATTGATTGGTAAGGAATAAACATTCCTCGAATATATCTGATCCAAGCTTTGAAAAATGATGCAAATTCTCATATTTCCATCCTTCTTT